TTTTTGCTTTTTTTTTCCTTGGGAAACTTCGTCTCTCTCTTTCTGGGGAACCTCGGAACACAACTTATCGGGGGTTGATACGAGCATCACCCCGTTAATTGGCTCTCGTCTAAGCTTAATCGACTTTGTTAGGATTGGTTCCCAGTAGTTAACTGTAACTGTAATCAGTCCCTAACCCAGCCCGCGTTGGCGAGTTAGTTAACTCCTAGCTACAACTGTGCTGGGCTGCGCTGAATATCTTATGACCATCCCGTACCAAGAATTGTCCTGGGCGGACCCTTAAGAGGATCGGCCTAAAACCCTAAGGCTTCTGTGCCGACACTGAGTGAAGGACACGATCTGGATACTGGAGATTCCAATCTAGTACTTGATTCATCCCCTAACCCAGATGCCTAGACCATTCCACACGATCGAGATTCCAATCTCGTACTTGATTGGTTGAACCGGACCTTGTTCTGGTGTTCTGTTCGTATCTCGGTCGGTCAAGGAACACGTCAAAGCCTGCAACAGTTTTTTTTTTTTTTTTTTTTTTTTTTTTTTTTTTTTTTTTCCCTCGCAGTTAACAATTTCCAACAGTTTTTTTTTTTTTTTTTTTTTTTTTTTTTGGGACCTGCAACAGTTTCAAACACAGGGTCGCAGTTGCAGTGGTAAAGGCATCTGGCTGTTATAGCCGACCGAGGTCACGGGTTCGATTCCGTCCGGCTGCGGATCGATCAGGGCTGCAACAAAAACGACAGCCCTGATCTACTTACCGACATGTGGGTGAGTGGTACGTACAGAGTTTTATTGTGACTTTTCGAAAACAGATCATGAGTGCAAGTGCTGATCCAATAGCATTATGATTACTATTTATTAATAATTTATTCGTAATGTATTAGTAATTTATTAGCAATTTATTAGTAACTTATTAGTCATTTATAAGGAATTCATTAGTAATAAATTTATTTTTTAAAAAAGGAAAAATATGATTACTGTATTTATCTGATTGGATCCTAGGCTACCAGAGTGGCCCGGGACCACTTGCCTGGCCGGGCCAAAAAAAAAAAAAAAAAGGAAAGAAAATAAAAATGAATTTTCACTTTTATTTTTTATTTAAAATTTGGTAGAAGGTCAATCTTTATTAACATCAAGCCGAAGAATTCCGATGTGACCCTGAGGCAAAAGTTGTTCTGTTTATTTTTCTGCATAACATAATTTCTTCTTCTTTTTTTTTTTTTTTTTTTTTTTTTTTTTT